TTCGATGGCATGATATGAATGTACATTATTTATTACAGGTAGGAATACCCTTTGGCTGAGTTTTGGACTTTTTTTTTCTCAGTACCTGGGATCAAGCTCAGGACTTTGCATTTGCCAGGCAGGTGTGGCACTACTGAGCTAAATCCCTGGCCCTCTGGCTGAGTTTTAATTTGATCAAAAGCAAAATGTTAAATTTTTGCTTTGTTACCATATGGATATTTGGCCTCTATACTGAGAAACAAGTTGAAAAGAGCAATCTGTCTGAGCAAAAGAAAGCAATTAGAAAACGTCTTGCTTTGGGAAAAACAAAATTTCACCTCCTCCATAATTTTAACCACTTTCAATGATTTGTATTTTGCTGGATGTTCATGTGAGGTAGAGATGAATGACAACTAGCGCATAGGATAGATTTTTAAAACTCGTATTACGGATATTAAGAATTATATCACCATTTTGTAAGATTTTGTAAGTATTTAACCATGTATAGTTTTATTCTATTCTACAAATGATTGTACCCTAGCTTCCCCCAAAGTTATTCAGAATACATAACAGCACAAAAATGTATCAACAAGTCTAACACCAGAAAGTGAGTGAAGTCATTGTATTTATCCCATTTATGGAATTTTTTTCATTACCCTTCTCTGGCCAACGTCAACAGAACAGAACAGTAGTTTGGGTGGCGATCTAGACAATTCATAGCAAAAAGGCAATTATTTCGGTGACCCTAGTGTAAGAATGGGGTGTAGTCTCATCTCACAGCTTTGTCATCTTATTGATGGCACTGTCAATGAACATGACAAATCTGACCAATGGCAAAGGATAATAAATAACAGCAAGTTTGTAGGAAAGGATTAATTCATTCAGCAACTTCTACTTGAACCTTAACACTAAGGAAACTATCATCAGTATGAAAAAGAGTCAGGAAGCGTTAAACTGTTGGAAAGGGGCAAGTAGATTCTGGTGTAGAGAACTTCTCACAGACAGTTGCCTCCAGGTTGAAGAAAAGCCCACAGAAGCGACAAGATTCCTTTGACAAGGGTCAAGCAACAAGAAATTCTGGCTGGATTACCGCTCAGCTGCTTTCTCCCCGGAAACACCTCCTTCCCACCAGTACGAGCACACACACACACACACACACACACACACACACACACACACACACACACTCCTGAAGAATACCTGGCCTCAGAGTTTTCTAGTCTGTCGTTGCCTGGCACAGCTGCAGCCTGACAGCAGAGGTTAAGAGGTGGAGCCAGCATACCTGGCACCAGCTGCTAATTGGGGGCGGGGTGCTTCTTCCTTGGAGCTTCGCACCCTTGGGGACCCTGGGTCTCAAGCAACTCCCATTGGTCACTAAAAACCACGTTTGATGCAAAACTCCAAATGCAATTTGAAAATAAAACAACAACTATTGAAAATGTGTGGTGCATACAAGAGCACTGTAACCAACGGTGTCCATGGAGACGGAACCTGGCTTCTAAAACCCAAGTCCCTTAGTATCCGTGCTCACCAACACCACATCTTTGCTACATTCTCTCCTGATCCTTATCACACAGTTTTATGTAGCTGTGATTGGTGGAGTTAAATGACCTGTTTTTTTTTTTCTTTTCAAGGATCATGCTTTTTCTTCCTAAACACCGTTTGATCAGATAATTCTAATAGTTCTTTTCTTCCTCTTTGGAAGAATGCTGTGATTCTGGCTGTAACTGTTTTATCATTTCACTGCTCTGTTGACAGAACATAGTAAGGAAGGAGAAACTAGTTCGATTTATGCAGGGGACGATGCTTAGAAGCCTTAAATATTTTTCGTAATTTAAAATAGAAATTTAATTCTAAAAATCAAAAAGTAATTTTTATCATATACTTTTCAATAGCTCCCCCTGTCCCCAGCCTACACAAACCTTAAAACAAAAATATCAGGAAATACGATCTTATGCATACCTCTTAAAGCTTGTCAAACGGTTTTGAGCACGTGTTATTTTCTGCACCGACATTGCCCTGTCATGATCGTTTCCTACTTTTAATGTCTGACCAGTGCTTTCTCCTTCATTCTTCTACTGCCTTTGAAGAAGTGAAGTAGGGCTGGGGGTGTAGTTCAGGGTAAGAGTCCGTGCATACCATGAGCAGGGTCCTTCACACAAGCAAACAAAACAAAAACATCCCCCAAAGTGACACAGATGCTCTACTTTTACCATTTCAAACAGAATTTTGGATAAAATTAGATTAGTGTGTGCTCAATAAGTAATAGTGCCGTTTCCATGGCAAACTGATGCCTGATGTATATATGTGGATCATTTATATTTTACATAAATATAACATTTATGCTTTATAACACTTTTTTCAAAAGATGGGATTTAGCCCACTAATTAGTAAGTTACAAAATCAATTTAGTGAGTTTCAGATAGAATTTTATACAATACAGTATAAAGCAACAAAAAGGGAAAATATCAGAATGCGATATATGTGGTAATAAAAAGGGATTATTTTGTGAAACTTGTTTTTGCTTTGTGCCTGTGAAGAGTGCATGTAAAATGTATATCTTTCTATGATTTGTCTTAGTTTGAAAGTCACTGTCAAAAAGCATGTTTTTCTACTGCACATAATAAAATAAATATTCACTGCAGAACAAAGGAAAATAGCCAGATTTATTTTTCTATAATTAATAATCAATTTTCTTTTATATCCATAAACACAATTACCCAGCTTTTATATTGCAATAAAGGTATTCAAGCCATTTAAAAGTAATTTTCTATTCATTTTCCATGGGTACCATTAGAGAACTAATAGACTAACATTTGTTGACACTATTTTCTACAAATGGATGCTCATTCCTCTTGTATTTCTCTACCAGGAAATAAAAACAGATCCAAAGACTCTTGATTTTTCAATTTACTGCTCTCTAATGATGACCCATCTCCATAGCAAAAAGGTGACAATTTCCCTTTAGGACGCACTGATCTATAACAAAACACCATCTCATTTGAATGGATGAAAAATAATTCCAACTAGTCTACATAAACATTCACCCTGATCCACACACTCCCTTCCTTACTAAAACACTTCAAATGTTTACGAATTCTCCTCTTGAAAGTCATAATGCAGGCAGACGAACAATAGTCCACTTAGTTGCATCTTGCACATGCTACGGGCAGGCAAAGTAGAAAATAAAAGGAAACATCAGTCTTGAGGGTCAGTGTTAGTACTGTGTCCCTGCTGGGGAACAAATGTGGAAAAGCCATCCTTCCTTGAAAATTCACAAATCACCTTAGGAAGTACTGACATCAACAATCAGAACAGAGGGGTAGGGGGCCAGGGCTTTAGCTCAGTGGTTCGGTGGCCTGCCTCTCAAGTGCAAGGACCCAAGTTCGATCCCCGGTACCAAAACAAACAAACAAACAAAAAACCCAGAACAGAACAGAGGGGTAGGTGCTATTGGTGGTGTGAGATCTACCTTTGAATGGGATCCAGATAAGCTACTTCAGTGTTCCAGCATTTGACTGGTTAGACCACTGTCACAGCCACTTTCTGGTTGCTGGGACAAAGCATCCAACACCTGAATTTAAAGGAGGACAGGCCTATGTTGGCTCACATTTTAGTCCACGGTTGGTTGCCCCTAAGGCAGAAATGTCATGGTTGAGGAAAACTGCTCACCCCATGATAGCCAGGAAGCAGAGAGAGAGAGAGAGAGAGAGAGAGAGAGGAGCTGGGGACAAGGACACACCCTTCCAGGTCACGCCCCCAGAGACCCTCCTCTTCTGGCCAGGCCCCCCTTTTTGACAGCACATTCAGCTAGGAACTCATCAATGGAAAAATCCACCGAGGCATACAGCACCTTCACAATCCAAACGCCTTCCAAAAGCCCCACTTCTGAACACATATTCTGGGGGACATTTATATTTAAATCATAACAACCATCCACTATCTAAAAGGAACAGCCATTTCTAATGGAAAGTCGTTTCCACGGGAAAGAAGCAGAGACTCCTAAGAGCAAAGAAGATGCTGAGTTCCTAAGTTCCAGTTGAGTTCAAACCATTTACTGAGCACTTAGCTCTGGGCCAGGCACCATGCTAGGAGCTGGAGAAGAGGTGAGTCTTCAAACAAGTGGGAGGGCTCTGAAAGCACACGGACAATTACAGTTCATATGCTGAGGGTATGCTTAGGAAGCCCGCGATTCACAGACACTCGAGAAACAAAGGAGGCAAAGAGGAGAACTGTGGTTCCAGAAAGGGACCTGCCAGAGGTCCAGAGAAGTTTCTTAAGCAGGTGATGTTTGGGCTGAGCCCTGGAGAAAAGATGGGGTGCATCTCCTTGGACACGTAGGTTACACAGCATGATATTTGTTCAGGACGCTGAAATGAAGGTAAAGCCATGTGAGTTTGGCGAATTTGGAAATAACTACAATTTCACTTGGTCCCATCAGCACTAGATGTGTTCAGGATACCATGAGGAGTCAGGGACCACTGGAAGACTCAGCAAGACAAGGGAAGATGTGAGGCAAAGCTGGAGAAGAGACAAAATCAATGTTTCTCGTGGAAATCAGAGTGGAGACAGGCACACGGGGATCCTACTACTATTAAGGCACCTTTAACAGGACCACCATTGCTTAGCTATCCAAAAATACTGTGTAAGAACTTTAATGCATAAAAGATAAATTAAGAACACTTAAAATGACATCCATTTTCTAATCTTCCTGGTCCTTTCAATTCTTAACATACCCACCACCTTAATGCTCATAAACTTGACTTTATCACTTAATGTGAGCTGGTAAACTCTCTTCTGTGTAATCACGTAGGCCATTTTTAATGACTATTTTATTGTGTTCTTAACATAGACAATCATTTTCTTTCTGTATGTCATTGCTGTAAACAGTTTTTCATGCACATTTTATTCCGTCCTTTCTTGGAGGCAACTTCTAAGGTGTGAGATTATTAGGCCACAGGGTATATACATCTGCTCATAAATATTTGTATGGTGTTTTGTCAGTCAGGCCTGGTACTTACTGTTTTGCTCCAGGTAAGGCCTGTGGTGTGGTGTTCCTTGATGTACATTTGCAGCTCACTCCAAATGTTCAAGTATGACTTCACCCAATCCACATGGCGTAGGTCACTTTGTTACAAAAGAGAATGGAAGGGAGCAGAGTTAGGCTCTAAAGTAAAAATGGGCAAAGGGAGAGGGCACAGTTATCCAGTGTCTAGGGCTCCAGATAACCCCATAGTGGTGGTCGTCCTAGCTGGAAGAGAACCCTGGAGGGAAGGTGGCCCAGAGCTCCCCTGAGGGAGGCGGCAAATGGCCAGAGCCCCAAGCTCCAGACGTGGACAGAGACCACAGACAGGGGACCCCAATGAACAGCCAGTTGAGGTCTCCCGTTCTCCTGCCTCTCTCATGTGAGGTAAATGTGGAGGAACACCATTTCTTCCTGTTGTGCTTTTGATGTAAAATAAAGAACAACTGTTCTCATGAATAAGAGTGGTATTTTAAAAAATCATTTAGTATGTTTTCTAATAATTCCATTGAATTACTTGGTTAGAAGTATAACTGATGAGAATTTTATTAAAATTTCATTATAACAGGTGAGGAAGTTGGTGCTTAAGATAAAAGGTTTTCTTACAAAAAGGCAACACCCATACTTCTAAAGGGATCCACTTAAACCACCTTCCTTGGATACTCTTGACAGTGCAAGCTCAGAAGGGAAATGGCTGGGATTTGTAATCTCCATTTTATTGAGCCGAGAGCTAGTGAAATACTCACCTTTCATAACAGGATGATCATACAGAGTCAAGAGAACTGTTAGGAACATTCAACTTACAGATAAGCCAAAGAGTTGCATTTCCTTTAGACAATTTTCTCCCACAATGCTTTTGTTCTTGCATGAAGTAGTAGTAGATGAGAAAGTCATGCCAGTTGAGTTAACGGAAATGTAATTATGTAAATGGCTCATTAGTCTGAGGATGAGCACTGAAGGAAAGCTCTCTTAGAGCTCATACCCCTTACGACTTGTCTCTAGGTGTGTTTTGTTTTGTTCTCCTTGAAACACCAGGGCACCAACGGCACATCTAGAATCCTGCCCTAGGAAGGCGTCTCGTTAGGGGGAAGTGAGGTCCCAATCATTCCCCCCAGGAGGAAAACAGGAGCAGGGCTTTGTTCCACATTTGTAGACATTCTGATTATCCTAATCAAATCTGTGAAGAATCTCTTTGTTACTCTCTCACTTTCACAGGTCTCTATTGGCCTGTAAGGTTTTGTGAGGCTCTCAGTACATACAGTGCCCTGCACAGGGGAAGCAGTCGGGACAGCAGCTATGACTAGAGCACAAAACTTTCTTCGGTGCAGATGTACACTCATGTTTACATATGTGGTTGTTTAACATGTAAATGCATATATGTATATGCAAAACGCATGTGTAACTCTATAGAGATATCATGTTGCTTTATGCAATATGCTCTCTACTAAAAATGTTTACAATGAATTACAAATCTTTATAGGCAATTTTTTCTTTTAATCTCTGTAGTATTATTTTGAAGAAAAGTTCCCGCAAAAACCTTAATTAGGACTGACAGCAAGTTGCTTTCACCTGCAGTCAGGCTCTAAGAGCTAAACTGAGCAGAATCCAAATACAGGACTCATAGGCAGCCATGAACCTTCCCTTGGGTTTCACTGACCCTGGAAGAACTGTGTTGGGAAATGTGAATTTTAATGGCTACGACTAAGAGGGAAGAGCCAAAGCCAGCGACTTCTCTACTCACCTGCTGAAAAAGAGCCAACAGCTAGCCAAGCCAGTGGCAAGGGTGGCACAGATACGCTTAAGCCACAGGGTGCCTGACTTTCAGCTCCTTGGCCCATGGGGCTACCTGCAAGGTGGGTGGCAGTGAATCACCCTCGACTGATAGGTGGAGAAGATGCCGAGGTTGGGTCCCCCCAACATGGTGCTGAGTGTGTGGGGTATTCACCTGTCCTTGGGTTACTGGCCCTAGAAGCTCTAGGGTGACTCGGGATGGTTCGATTACTTCTGGAGCTGATATGAATGAATCTGTACCTCTGCCTCCATTTCCCTAACTTATCGCATAGTCTTCAGGCGGCCCCCGAGCTTGACTGAGCCCACCATGGTGCTTCCCAAAGCACATTTTCTCTTTCATAACTGACATCAAAGGGATAAACCCCTGGACTCCTTGCATGTGTGCTTGAATGTGGAAACCCCAGCCCTCCAGGTAGGCCAGCTCCTGGGGTGGATCACTCATACTCTGGGCCTCGACATTTATTCAAGGAGGGGCTGAGAGGACAGGGGCTCATGAACTGGGGTACAAATAAATACACTCTGCAAAGGTCTCTACCGGCTAAAAGGCAGGAACCCGAGCAATGTTTAAGCGGCCCTAAGGTGGCAGGTATGTGACTTTCTGAACGAAATCACTCTGGGAATACGTTCAGGCTCACATACTACATTCAGGTTGGGTAACTTCAATTTCTTGTGTCTGAAATGTAACTTGTATTTGAGAACAACAGGTTGCTTTGCATTCTGGAGGCCTCTTCTCAGGCACTGACACTTTCTATGGTCTCTAGTACCACAGGGCGGCATTCAGAATCCTGCCGCTGAGCCCAACAGCCTCAGTGCAGTTCTCTGGGTACACAAAGTCTGTCACTGAGCACGGTTACTGTGATCAAAATCTGCTGAGGGTGCAGACTGATCCTAGGAGAAAAGGGGCCCCTGGAGGATCCTGCAATTAGTAAGTAGTTCTGTCTGCTAATGTTATTCCTCAAAGCTGCGAGATCTGTTTTGCTGACACAGAGTAAACAAATCAAATCAAAACAGAAACCAAAAAACCCTATGGCTGTTTTAAAAAATAAAAATAGCTTTCTTAAGATACAATTCAGATTCCACAAATTCACACACGTAAAGTGTAGCATTCAATAGCTTAGCTCGAGTTGAAGAGTCTTCATCACAATTAATTTTAAAGTATTTTAATCCCCACCAAAGAAACTTGACACTCATTTGTAGATATTCTCTATGTCCAACCTTAGGCAACTGAGAATTACTTTCTGTCTCTATAAATTTGCCTATTCTGAATTTTATATAAATGGAGTCAGACAAGCACACAATATGTGGGTTGTTTGTGTGTCTGGCTTCTTTCATTTGGTGCAAAGTTTTCAGGGTTCATCCATGTTGCCACCTGTGTCAATACTGCACTTTTAACGTCCAAATAATATTCCATTGCATGGATATACCACATTTTTTTATCCACTCGTCAGTTGGTGGACATTTGGGTTATTCCCAAGATTTGGCTATTATAAATAATGCTGCTGTGATCATGCATATATAAGCTTTTAGGTGCAAACCTTTTTTCATTTATTTTTTATCTATCTATCTATCTATCTATCTAGGAGTTGAACTGTATGGTATGGCTGTTTTTTATATTAGAAATGTTGGTATTTTTGTATATTGGGTTTAAAATTTATCTCATATTGTGAGTCTCTTTCTTCTGATTCTGACTTTTCGGTCTGTGTTAATAAAATAAAGCAATGAATTGGGGTGATAATCCAGACAATTCAGGCCGTCAAATCTCCTTTTATCGGAACAGTCAGGATGAGAGACGTGATGCCCCCAGGAGCCCCTGCATTTATTGGCTGATGTCTGTCACCTCTGTTGCTGCCACCTGAGGGTTCAGATGGGGATCCACTCGTGAGCCCACAGCTAGGGGCGAGTGAACACTCCTGTTTTTATTTCTGCCCTAACCCTTCCCTTGGTTACTAGGCAACAGCCCCAGCACCTCTCCCAGCTGTTTACAAGGTGAAGCACGGCCTTATCAAAGGGCGAGGAGTCTCATGACACTCCTTAAATAGTTTAGGAGACATTTTCCTGGATGTCTCCTCATTTCTGGCATGGCACCGTTTGGGCCTCTTTTCCATTCTAACCCCAGCTGGAGCCTGCCTAGGATCAATTATTTGTGCGGTCGGACGCAAGGTCTTTTCATGCTGGGGCTCCAGAGAAGCTCCATGATCTGGACTCACCTGGGCTTTCCACAGCCCTCGAAGGCTGCCATTCTCCCAGAGGTCCCTCTGTCCACCCTAACCGGACTGCGTCTTAACTTCATTTCCCGATTCCCTTTCTTCTCTCTGCTCACTCATCAAGCTACGTCGATCAGTGGAAAAGCTCTGTGACCACAAGGAGCCAGTCTGTGCGACATCACCAAGTAGGAGCACACATTCAAAGGGGGACGGTTTATTCCTAACAAGAGGACGGAGGCACACTTTCTAAAACACACAGAGCATCTGGATAATGGGTTTCATTTCCGCTTGGATCTCTCTGCAAAGAAGGAATTTTTCTTCAAAGTTTATAGTACACTCATAAAGAGCCGTGCGAAGAGATCAGTAATTAACCATGTAAGTGTTAGAAACAAACATCTAACAAGTGCTCGCCTGAAAATCCAGTATAGAAGAGGGCACGTACCTGTGTTTGTAGTCCTTTAAGACCCTGTTAGTGTAAAAGGTGGCAGCATCATTCATCTCCTTGACATAAGGACCAGGTTTGGGGGACTGAGAAAACAGGACCATCACCCAAGCATAGGAAGAAAAAGAAAAAAGATAAAGAAAATACCTTGAAGAAAAAAAATGCAAGGGATGGATGGTTGGAAGTAGCAGGTGAACTGTGCTCAGGAAAGGCTTTGAAACACGTTGTGTTTCTCTGAACAGAAAGCAGCACACTTTAAACAGAGCAAGAAAAGGCTGATCTTTCAGCCCAGAAAGCACCTTGCTTCAGTGCACAGAGGGGACAAAGGGGCGGGGCGGGGTGGTGACGTCTCCGGAGGACTCCACCACGTGACCAGGCGAAGGGGCCCGGGGCACCGGACTCACCACGGCTATCCATCCCAGGGCCGGGATGCTCTCGCTCACGGCCGAAAGATGGTTAAACATGGTACTGCCCCGGTTTCTTTCTCTGAAGGTCTGGATTTCCTGAATCTTTTCCGAGATGGGTTTCAGAAGCGCAGCCACCTCGTTCTGCAAGCAAACATGGAGAGCTGTTAGGAGAGGCACGGCCGCTCCACCCTCCTGGCCTAAGCAGGGACCCCCAGGGCCTGAGGGAAACACGCAATCATCTTTCCGAATACACCGGGGTTTTCTCTGCTATGGCCACACAGTCAGCCCTTCACATCCACACGTTCTGCATGTGTGGGTTCGACACATTGCATTAAAAATATTTCTTAACACACTGTGTCTGTTCTGCACATCTACAGACTTTTTTCTTATTATTCCATAAACACCACAGTGTGACAATTATTAACCTAGAATTAACACTGTCTTAGGTCCTGTAAGTGACCTTGAGATGATCTGAAGTGTACAGAAAGAACTGTGCAGGCTATATGTAAGCACGAAGTCATTTTATACAAAGGACTTAAGCATCTGTGGATTTTGGTGTCTGTGGGAGGTCCTGGAACTAACCTCCCTCAGATACAGAGGGACAGCTGGACTGTATTTTTATTCTCTGCAATATGAAAACTGCAGACATTTTTAACATTAATAAGGCTGTCTCCTGAGACATGGAAAACCCCAGCAGTAAGATACAGCCCGTTTGGGGGACAGCTGCAGGGAGCACAGTAAAACACAGAGTGGTTGTGCTGTAATTTCAAACGAATAGACCAGCCCCATACTGACGGACACAGGTGTGTCGAGTCAGGGGAAGAGGTTACTGAAAGGATGACTTGCTTGCTATTCTTGTGGGGTAAGGATGTGGGGGAGCACCCTAGGTTTGACTGTAGTTTCCAGAGCTCGTTTGAAAATAAGGAAATCGTTCCCTGATGCTCTTTTTAAGCAAATGTGATAGCTTCCCATATTTATAGTGACTCCTCTGGTTGGGCTTTCAACATCACCCTCAGTCCACCGGGCCTACGACTACTGGTCACACTCACTTCTGATTAATTCAGCAGCTGACATCTCCAGTTATATAAAAAATGGCTTTCAAAATGATGTGTTAGGAAGTATCACAGAGACACTGCAGCTATTTTAAACCTCTCCTCCTCCATGCCTGAGGCATTCTCTGCTTCCTTAAAGTGTTGTAGAGCAGATAGAACTGTTTGTCTGCTGTGTGTGTGTGTGTGTGTGTGTGTGTGTGTGTGTGAATGTGTGTGGTTTTATGTGCTATGTGCTCCAAAGAATTAGCAAACGTCCTAAGCTTCTCAGTTTTGTAAGCGCAGTTGAAAAGCTTTAAGCGGTATTTTACTAAATCTAGTTTGCAGGAAGTAAGCTAGAAAAGCTCCTTACAGTTCTTTCATTTCTTCAACCAAGATTTCAAGGCAATGGTTTCTAATCTTGGCTACACATTGGAACCACCTAGGGGGCTTTAAAAAATACAAGGCCTACATTCCATCCCCAGAGATTCTGCTTCAACCGGCCTGGAGGTAGCCTGGACAAGGAAGGGAAGCCTGGAAAGCTCTTCAGGGGATTTTTATAATCATTGCTACCGTGATAGCTTCACACCCAAGGTAGAGTCTTTTCTGCCATGACAGGACACCACAAGGGAAGACATTATATTCAGCGGCGGTAGCTTCCAGATCTGATTTATTCAAACCCTTCACTGGTCCTTCCTGAATATAAACATTGTGTGTGAAGGCTTAGGAATTAGAACAACTGTGGTCCAAATCTCAGCCCTGCACTAACTTCCGGTGGGGCTTTGAGCAAATTACTTTATCTGGTCTTTGGTTTCTCTACACAAATCAGTGATCACAATATGCACAACTGATAGACTACAGGAGATGCTGCATTTTACTTCTGTGGCATTCAGGGGGTACACAATAAGAGGAAGTGATTATTCTTACTACAATGCAGTTAGCTTATACTGGAGGTAAAAAGATGTCCCCAGTAATATATACTATCCATGTACTTCAAATAAATGACTGTATTTCAGCAAGAGAGGCTCCAAACACACACCCTTGCAGGCTAAAAGGATTTCAGGGTCACAGGAGTCTAAACTGGGTCACCTACTTTGGTCTTTTGACAGACCCTGCGGAGTAGGTCATCATTATTATTAAAAAAATAAAATCCGTCAGAACAGAACAGAAAATATTGGAGAGTGCTGACATGTAGGGAGGATAGGTGTTTTAGGAAATACTTGTTTCAGTTATGTTCCATGTGGCTGTGTACTGGATTCCAAAGTAAAATGTATTTACTGTGGATCCCAGCCCAAAAGTTTAAGAAACATAGATCGAATCCAATTCTCCTGTTTTACAAATGTGGATATAAACTTGAGGTTTAGTGTACTAAGTTAAGATCATTTAGCAAGACTTAGTATAGCTAGAGGTAGCACCTGGCAATCTCCGAGAAAAGTCTCTGTATTGTACTAGGTACCGATACAAATACAGTTAGCTGTCTATGCACAGGTGTCTCCTCTGCCAACCGGGTTAGGGAAAGGTATTATGAAGAGACTAATAACTCAGGTACTAGAATTATCGATATTGCTTGGGTTCGAATCCTTGTTATCCGTGTACTAAGCTCTGGGTGTTTAGCAAATTTGGCCTATATTTCATTGTCCCATCTGTAAAAGATAAAATGGACACTGGCACCCATTTCTTAGGGAAGTTATGAGGCAGAATTGAGAAGTCCCAGTGGAATGTAAAATTTTTCCATATTGAAATTTACTGCAGAAACTAATAGTTATTGTAGAAAATTCAGAAATACTCTTTCCCTTTTTCTTCTTGTCCTTATAAAGCAAAAGTATTATAGATTTAGCATGAAGATTCTGAATCAGTTGTCATATGATGAATTGTGTTCTCTCAAATTCATAGGCTAAAGCCCTAACACTCCCAGTACCTCAGAGTGTAACCACATAGTATTTGAAAAATCTGAGTTAAAAGAAGCTGGGCGTGGTGGCGCACGCCTGTAATCCCAGCACTGAGGAGGTTGAGGCAGGAAGATCACGGTGAGTTGGAGGCCAGCCTGGACTACCTAGTGAGTTCCAGATCAGTCTCAACTACATAGTGAGACCCTGTCTCAAAAAACCAAAAAACCAAAAAAAAAAAAAAAAAAAAAA